CTTTACAGGCTGCGTATTAGGATGGAAATATTTTGATCATGCTGCACATTTAGGTGGTGCATTGTTCGGAATGCAAGTGTTATTTTGTTTAATATTCATATACATTATGTGTTCGACAAAAATCTTCAATAATTATTTCATTTAAAATTTCTTATTTCTTTCTATTGTGTATAGATTTTGGCAAGCTTGGGGCAATGCTAATATTTGGCGAAAACGGGAGCCAGTATTAATGTTTTGGCATGAATTACGAAATCCACGTAAATCACAATGAATATCAACTTTTATAAGGTGATGCTTTTGTTATCAAACAAAAAACGTAAGATATTAGATTCAAATTAGATTATAAATTTGATATACTTCAGAAGGTACGATCATGAAAAAAAAAAATTACAGAATGTTAACACGTTTAATATATTTTTATTGTTAACAATTTTTATGTATATTATGAGAAAACTATAAAGAGATGGAGAGAAAAAGGCAAAGAATAATGAGTATAATTTATCTGTAACTTTGTTCAATTGAAAAAAGTCATACATTAATTCTTTTGCAGTTTACTTTATTTTAGTATACTAATTTTAATTTTATTATACTAATTTAAAAGAATTATTTATTAGTAAAAATTGATATAAATTTTAATAAAAAATATTTTTAATTCTTTAAGTACTTCATATGATGTTTAATATGATCTTCGATAAATGTAGCTATAAAATAATAACTATGATCATAAGCTTCTTGAAATCTTAAAACCAAAGGTAATCCAGCATCTTTTGCAGCATTCAATAAATTTTCAGGCAATAATTGACCCTGTTTTAAGAAATTATCTTCTTTCCCCTAAAATTAATATATTTTTAATATTTGTTTTGCTTATTTTTGTGCAACATTAAATTTTTTACATTTGATTTAGTTAAACCTGATCTATTAAAATATCCAAAGGAGGACCATTGTATTTTTTAGCTAATTCTGTAGCATCCCAGTCATTCCATGAGACATTGTCTTCTGTTTCTCCAAAATAGTTAGAGAATGCTTTTTTACCCCACGGACACTGAATTGGATTGCTGATAGGAGAAAAGGCAGAAACCGATTTGTACATACCTGGATTTTTAAGTGCACAAATCAGTGCTCCATGACCTCCCATACTATAAAAATGATTAATGTTATTAACACTATGTAGAAATAGCAATAATTTTTATGTTTATGTCATACCTGTGACCCATTATAGACTGTTTATCAGAAAGTATCGGAAATTTTTCATTAATGAGTGATGATAATTCTTTAGTAATGTAACTGTACATCTTATAATTCTTTTTCCATGGCTCTTTTGTTGCGTCCACATAAAATCCTGCTCCAATTCCTAAGTCCCAACTGTCAGAATCATCAGAAATATTTAATCCACGAGGACTAGTATCAGGTACTACTAAAGCAACACCACATTCTGAAGCATATTTTTGAGCACCACCTTTTTGTATAAAATTTGCCTCTGTACATGTCAGTCCTGATAGAAAATAAATAACTGGGACTGAAACTTCTTCCGCTTGTGGTGGAAGGAAGATACCAAAGTTCATTTTACAGTTGAGAACGGAGCTACAAAATATTAACAAAATATTATTTTCAGATCCATTGTCACATAACCTTACATTTTTATCTTAATTTATAATACTACCTCTCATGCGAATAAACTTTTTGCCATCCTCCAAATACTTTATTATTAGATATTTCTGTGAGTTCCGTCATTGATGAAGATTGTTGCACCGTCTAAAAGATAATAATTGAATTAAATCGTTAAAAAAAAATTCTTTGGAAATAATTACAATACGCAATTGTGTACAAAGGTTAAATAAGTATGTAATCAATTTCTAAACTCGCTTTATTTCTTTATTCTCGATTCCTTACGATTTTCTGATCGAAGACGTCACAAAAATTTATTAGCAACTTTCGACATACACTATAATTGTAAAGTGTATTGTACACCAATGGAGAAAATATTATTCAAAAAATGTTCAATACTGATAATGCGCTATTCTACTAATTTCAAAGCAGAACGTTCGCATTCTACGTTAATCGCACATTCTATTGCAAAATGAGAAAAAAGAATCGTATGGTTTATTTAAAATATAAGAATATTCCGTTCGCGTACATTTCTATACTTACTTCCATGACTGCTGTACACTGCAGTTGTTTTTTCCTTTGCTTCCAAAAATTTCTTAAATTTGCTCCAGTCCTTTTTTTTTTATATTTACAAAGCTGCCCTTTTGGTGACGGCATTTTTTTTCTTCTTCACTTTAATTACTTTTTATATTGCATATTTATAAAAAATATCTCGACGCTATTCATACGATGTCTATTCGACGAATGAAGATTTTTAAAATAACCAATCGTTTCGCAATCATTTGTTTTATATTTTTCTCAGGCGCTTTTCAAGACTATTCATCACCCCTGGTTTTATAATAGTTTACGTCAACAATGAGAACAGACTTAATTCTTGACAAATTATGATGAAAAACAAGTCTTTTTTTAAAGAAATTTTAATCTAGGATCCCGCTTTTTCGAATTTTTGAAAAAGCTTTAAAAAAAAAATAGTATTTCTTCGAGAATATATTATGCATAAAAATAAAGCTTTTTCAAAAATTCGAAAAATCAGTGTCTTAGATTAAACCTTTATCTTTAAAATAACGTTTTGTTTATCAAAATTGGTCAAAAATTATGCCTGGACTCATTGTTGGTGTAAATGTTGTTTTCGTTATTTTTCGTGTAGAAAAGTTTTGTACAGTAACGCCCTTTGAAATCTACGGCAAAAAAGAAGGAACTCATACCTCCACTACAGATTTTCATATCACGAAATATTGAAAATACATCATTGAATAATACTGCTGATGCTGATGATGTTGATTTTCTAAGCTATTTCAAATGCAAAAAAAAAGTGCTTTTCATGATATTCTCATAAGAAACTAGAAAAAGATGATGAAAAAGATGAAAAACAGCCTTAAGAAATGCAAATTTAACGATGACTCTACTTGTATATTATAATTCTTTTAAAATCAAATCAAATTGAACAACGTTCAGTGCATTTTGAAAGAAAGCAAGAAAAATCGATAGTATACAATAAAATCTATGAACCGTACCGCATTTCATCTGATTGGAAGGTTTCGTTCTTCCGTAAAAAAAAAAAAAAAAAAACCAGTATATTTTTAACGTAATTGAATTTAAATCAATAATTATCGCGAGATCTATTTATTATACACATTTCATTATCTTTTTCTTTACCGGCATATTGGTAAGTTACCGGCAGATTGGTGCATATGAAATATCGGATTTTCTTTAAATATGAACGTTTATCTCCCTGTTTTTGTTATGCTTTTGTTTTTGACATAACCTGATTTATAATCGTACTGTCCATTGCCAGAGTCACATTTTAGCAAAGAAGATTTCCTCAAAAGTATTCCCTTTTGTTATTTGCTTTGAATTTTGCACCGATATGAATTCAACCGATATTCGTGTAATTTTCTTATGAGTATAAACTTGGTAATAATGCTGCAAAAGCTGCACGCAATATAAACCAAACGTTTGGGGAGAATACTGTGAATGATCGAAAAGTGCAGCGTTGGTTTGAAAAATTTCGGTCTGATGATTTTTCCCTGCAAAATGAACCGCGTGGAAGACCCGAAACGTCTGTGAAAAATGATAAACTACTCATTCTTTCGTAGGAATGACTACTCTGGAATGACAATTAGCCGAAAAGTATTGCCAGTACATTGAAGAAATGCATGAAAAATTGAAAATTATACGCCTATCACTTGTTAATCGGCATTGCCTAATACTTCCCCACGACACGCTCGGCCGCATACATCGTACAAAACAATTGCGAAATTAAATGAATTAAAATATGAAATTTTGCAGCACCCACCTTATTCACTGGATCTTTCGCCAATCGACTTTTATTTATTTAAAGATTTAGAACTGTTTTTACGGGCTAAACAGTACGAAAATGAAGACAGTCTGAAAAATGCCATATCAGAGTTCATTGATTCTAAAGATCAGAATTTCTTCAAGACAGGCATCGATGCATTAAAATCTCGTTGGGAAAAGTGTATTGAAGTAAATGAAGTATATTTTGATTAAATAAATAGCTTTTGGAAAAAGATATGCAGTTTAATATATTCATTTAAGAATCCGACATTTCATTCGCATTAATCTAATATAATGAATATTCCTGTATTTTTCTAAATATTCATTTTCAAATATCCGTATCTTTATATATTACGTAATTTGACATTAAATTATTTCTATTGAAAATGAAAAATTCTTAATCCTTAATTGTTTCCTTTAAATGTTGTAAAAATAAAGGATATGGCATATGCATATTAAACAGTATTTATTTTACCTCTATGTATACCTTTGATCAGTTCCAATTCCAGTGTTCCTCATAATTGCCATCTTTTATTTATTTCATGATTGATATCAAATGTTCCTTTAAAGTGTTTTTAGGAATCAACAAAGAAAGAGAAAAACACATCATGGAAATCAATACCTTAATGATAAACCGATAGAACGAATTAAACTTTAACGATCCTTTCGCACGAGACGATCGATTGCACCGATCGATTGGTGCAATTTATTGTAAAAACTCGTTAACGACATGGAATTGGCTACTTCGTTTTTTTTTTTTTCATACGAGGCAAATAAAGTTAACGAAGTGTTTCAACTCTGACAGTTACTCACTACACAAGTTGTTTTCTCAAGACCGTAGTTGCGCGTACTAAAGATGCGGCATTATTTTCAATCATGCCATTCATACTAAGCGACTGGTCGACGCATTAACTTTCTGTTTCTCAATCTTACTTCAAAACAATACGCAGAAAGAGAGGGGGAAAAAAAAGAAAGCGACAATACCTCTTCATTCTTCGGCGCCATTATGACAAATAAAAAAACAAAAACAAATAATAAAAAGAATTACGCAGTCAATGAGATTAGTTGCTATTTCGATTCCACAGATCGATGACTGACAAATTACAACGATTCGATCGTTTCTTGTGAAAAGGTCCTAAATGTTCCAATGACAGCGACTAACATATAAAGCGCGAATAATTGAGTGTTATTTTTTCATGGCGCGATACAACAAAGGTCCGACGAAAATGAAAAGGTAATAGAAAATTTATGACATCGTTTAAGATAATTACAAAGATGAAGAGATAAGATTTACAATAATGTAACAAATGGAGATTATTTCTTCTATTGTATTTGTTATACGTTGTAATTATGATTTTATATAGACACACATATGTATATATAGGATATGAGTTTGTGTGTGAAAGGCAACAGGTATGAAAAAGACAAACCTTTGAAAGAATAAACATCGCTATGAGTTTAATTGTAAGACAATGGAGTCGGCTTCAGGGAATTGCAGAAATCCTTAGGTTTTCTTTTTTTTTGTTTATAAAAATTTAAAAAAGAAAAATAATCATCAAGATCATAGTTTACAATCACATCTTCGTTATACCTGAAAACATAACTTCTTTCATAAATATCATCTTGGGAGTTCGATTGAGATAATAATAAATTTCTATATATATATATATATATATAGAAAATAATAAACATTATGTTATTCTGAATAATAATTATCATTGATGAATTATAAATAATGATATAAATGTCTAATTAAATTTATTCATTATATAAACAATTGTTTAAAAATTTTTATTCCATTAAAATAACTTAATGAATAAAAATTTAGACGCAACGTGCTTCATTTTCTCGATACGGAGTAGTGTAATACAAGTATACTTAAATACATCAAATCTGTACAATATATTCAAGGATTTACACCATAAATTCTCCTGATTGCAATTTTCGTCTGATTTTGGTGACGAAAGACTCATTTGAAAGATAAACATTGTTTATATGAAATTATTGTTACAGATTTTTGAAAAGATATTAATTTCTTTGCCAAAATTATATCTAAAAAATAAATAATCTTTAAGAATAATTTTCACACAGGTAAAAGCTTATTTTGAAAATAGTGGCAGATTTTAAATATAAAAACATGCAATTATATCGACGCGTAAGTATAAAAAAATAAGTGTACATTTAATATCTTCATATGTATTATAAAATAAATAATTGTAGAAAAATATAGGAGATTAGATATATGTATGTTATCACAGATGAACGTAATACATTTAAGAAAAAAAAAAAGAAAAAAAAATAGAAAAAAAAATTAAGAAATATTATTTTCATATAATTATTGAATAATTGTTTCTTGTAATAGTTTCTAACCTATTATATATTTTTTTCAAAAGTTGTTTTTAATTATTTTATTTTTGCATAATTATGTGTTTTCTACGTCTTTTAAAATATCTTAAATTATACAATAAGTCAATATATAAATAATAACAAAAGTATATTTAATATACAAAATATATTTACATAATGAAAAACATATGTATATCCATAATTCTTTATATAATTTTCTAAATCTATTTCTTTTTTAGCTTTTTTAGTTCATTTTGTTGTTTTGCTGCATCACCAAATATTTCTTTCACTTTACGTTTGCGTTCTGTATCACTCTTAATTTGTTGTTTAATTTGTAATTTGGATAAGAATGCTCTGTCTTTTCTTATTTCACGAATAGCACCCTTCATTTCTTTTTTATATTTATGAAGTAATTTTTCTCTTTCTGCTTTTTCTTTAGACATAGGCTTATGTTTTTTGCCATCATATCTATAAATAATATAAAAGAAAATAAACAATACACGTAATATATATAATTATAATATCAAAATGCAATTTTTATTTATTTACTTAGAAAGTAAATAGAAAAAATAGAATACGTACACTCTTTCAATATGAGGCTCATATTGCCTTAATGGTTTTGGTCTTTTCTTTTCACGAATAATATATTCAAGCTTTTTATTTTTTAAGTCGATTAATTCTCCATTTAAGTGTTTTATATGCTCCTTTAAAGTTGAAGGATATCCATTGCATGGGTTTTCTTTTAATAACTTCATAATTGGTTCGAATATAGAATATGCAGATTCTAATTCTTGAAGATGATTTTTAAATTCAGTAATTAAATTTATTGCAGTAAATAAAACTCTTATTCTGTAATCATTGTCTATATCTTCATTTACTAAATCATATGCTTTCATAATTATTGTATTTAAATTCATTTCTAAATCTGTTTTTTCCTGATCAATTATTAATAAATTACTTGATTCACCAATACTTTTAAAAGGAGGAATCACCTTAATTCCTTTGATCAAAAGTTTTGGCGTAGCCATGTATATTATTCCACGTAGAAAATTGATCGCAGATGGAGCAAATCGTTTACTTAATACTGTATACTAAAAAAATTAATTTTTGGTTACAGTAATAATATAATACATATATATATATATATGTAGTTATATAAAATGTATAAATATAATTAGTATTACATACCTCTAACATAAGAGTACATATAAAGAGACCTTTTGATATATCTCTTCTGTTTTTAATACGACATGTCAGTAATATTTGTGACATAAATATAAGGCAAGGAGTAACAATTACATGTCTAAAGTCAGATGTTGGGAATAATAGTGATACCAATTTAAAAATAATAAGCTGAAAAGAAGATAATTTAAAATAATTATTTTAAATTATAATATAATTATTTCCATTATTTAATATTCTGAAAACATACTGTATCTATGTTGGGATATTGTTTCTTATTCTGTTCAAATTCTTCATGTTTTTCTTTTATTATTTCAACTATACAATTCTTAGTATTTTCTGGATTTATATGTGCAAGATCATATAGATAAGGACATAACCTAAAATATATAATATAATAAAAATTTAATTAATGTTCTTAATAGAATACAATATTTACTATATATATATATTTTACCTATCAAAAACTTGAAAAAAGTTAACAATGTTTTCTACATCATCGTTTTCTATATTATTATTAAGAATATATTTCATTAGAAATATAAATAATTTGGATAATTTTTCTTTGTTTTGTTTATCCAGAGTCCAATGATTGCATTTTATTATGCGATCTACAATAACTGATTGATAATCGGAATTTTGATTTTGTAATAATTTTTGTAATTCTTCAAAATTTTCTGGTATTTTATAAGTATAAGGCAATTCTTTTCTAGCTTTTTCCATGATTTCTTTTCTTTTTAAAAGATCATTTCTAATTTCTTGTTTTCTATCTATACTGACAATTTTGTCAATAACTGGTTCATTATTTGCTTTTATTATTGACTTCAACTTATCATTTTTGATATTAATTGATTTTTCAGTATATATATTATTTCCAAATCTAATACTTTTTTTGTCAGATATTTCCTCATCTTCGCTAGAGGTGTCAGATTGTTTTAAATCTGATAAGTCATCTTCTGAGGAACTTTCACCTTCTACATTATTAGAATCTGACTGTACATCCGAATTTTCACACAAATCTGTTTCATATTCTTCTTTACTTTCTTCATGTTCATCATTTATTAATTTTGATTCTTGATTAATTTTATTTGTCTTATCAATTTTATCATTTACAAGAGATTTCTTCATTCTTTCTACTCGAATTTCTGTTTGTTTTACATTTTCATTAAATTCAGAATCATTACTATTGCTAGTATCGTTTGAGCTTTGACTAATATCATCATTAAATATATCATCGTCATTACTTACTCCATCATTTTGAATTTCATCAGATATTTTCTCTACAAAAAATCCATCGTCAAGATCATCAGCTGATTTATGTTTTAGTTCTGCATTTGAATCTGATATAAATCCTTTCATTCTTGCTAAACGATCAGCTTCAAGTGCTTCTAATTTTTCCTTCTCTTCTTTAATAATTTCTTCCTCAGATTTTAATCTGTCAGTAGGATTGCCTCTTGCTTCAAATTTTAATTCACGTACAGCCATATCATAATCATCAACTTTTATTTTATCAACAGGATCTTGATTTGGTATTTTACTTGCTGATACTATAGGAAGAAGATCTTTCCATTGAGTATCTAGTTTTTCTGTTAAATCTACAGTTTCTTCACGTATCTTTTGCTTCTCAGCTTTTCGTTTTTTGGATTCAGCAATAAGTTCAGCAATCAGATCTTTTCTAGATATAGTTGAGTCTGATTTTGATAGAATGCCGCCTCCAAAATGTGATTCAACAAATTTTTTATTCAGTTTTCCATCTCTATTTTCATCATCACTAAATTCATCATCACTTTTTGGATCATCAAATTTTTCTATTTCTTCAAGAGTTTGGCCTTTATGCGTCAGCACTTCTTCGTCATTCAAACTAAAAATGTTTTTCTTCTTATGAGCTTTTATACGTTCTGCTGTAAATCTTGCCATAGCTTTTTCTTCTGGTGTCATACGAAAATTTTTTTCACCTATGCGTTTATCTAAAAACACATTGTCTTTATTTTTTAATTTATACTCTTGAAACAGAGTACCCTTGCGTTTACTAATAGCTTTAGCACGTGATATACCAGGCAAACCTCTGTCTGCTTTATTCCTTCGTCCTAAAACATTTTGTTTGTCTTTATTTATATGTATTTCGAAGGGATTTAAATTTTTCTTTTTTTGTTGGTTATGTTGTAATTGCGCTTTTTCAGACATATTCATCTTCTTTGCTTTCACCATTTTAAATATTTATAATTTTCAGACGAAATGAGAAGCACAAAGACGTCAAAATAAATATAATATTTTTCACATATAAATTCTTTACATTAATTCAAATAAACAAAGTTTTAATAACCTATGTTAAGATAATCGTTTAACAATAATCCACGTGTTTTTATTTTTATCTGCCCAGTCTGTTATTGCTGCATAGTTACCACATATGTTATCAAAGATTGACCAATCAGAGTACAGCACTGAACAGCCAATTATATTTCAGTATATTTTTAGTACTAATGAATTTTATGGTTAAGGAAGCGCGCGAGTCGTATCATATTGCTAATCCTGGTTCAGATTTTTCTACATTAACTTTTTGCACTCGAGAGGTGACTCTCACTCACCACATGATTTAATGCCGCAACTCGAGTGGTGACTCTCGCTCACTACTTTGTTTGATGCGGCAATTCGACATACGGCGAGAACTGTTTATGTTTTCTTTCTTTCATGTGGGTTCCTAAACTCTTCCTGTATAATGTTACGAAGATAACATAATTTCCATTTCCCAATGGAAGTAATGTTTTCTTATCTGAAATTAGTGTGCAATCCTGAACCGGACTCTATTTTCGGTCTTAGTTCGAACTTGAAAACCATGGCAAAAGGATTATAAAAGTTGAAGTTTCTGATGCTCATAAGCATGGAACTTAGTAATGAAATAAGCTCAAGTGAAGATGAATTTGAAGTAACGTTGCTTAACGAGGAAATTACATCTATACATAGAGAGCTTGACGATAAAGAGAACACGAGCAGTGATGATGATGATAGTAATGAAGTAAGTGGTGTAAGAAGACGAAAGATCAGAATAATAAACAGTGAATGTGACAGCGATAGTGATACTGCAGAAGATCCACAATCGGACAGTTCTGAATGGATTAGTTGTACAGAATCCGAAGAAATACCCTCGAGAATACCGTTCATAGCCGGCGACACTCCTGCTGGACCGCACATACTCCTAGACAAGAAAGAACCGTTGGATTTTTTCAAACTATTTTTTACTAATGAACTCGTGAATGAAATAGTTACTGAAACAAATAACTACGCTAGAAAAAAGTTAGAGAACAAGACGCCATCACAGTACTCAATATGGCGAGCTTGGCACAGTGTAACTATCGAAGAAATGTGGGCATTTATTGGAGTCATAATAAATATGGGGACAATGCCGTTGGCGAATTTGCAAGAGTATTGGTCACGGAATGATATAAGTTATATTCCTTTTTATTCAAATAAATTTACCAGAGACAGATTCAATCAGATTTTTTGGATGCTTCATCTAAAAACAATCCCAACACGAGATACTGGTCCAAGAACACGTTTACAACTAATAAGCTGCTTTCTTGAATACATAAATTCTAAATTTTTAGAGTATTTTTCACCGGGAAAAGAAATTTGTGTGGATGAGTCAATTATCAAATTCAAAGGTCGGATTTCCTTTATCACTTATAATCCGAAAAAACCAACCAAATGGTGTGTTAGAGTTTACACAATGACAGACTCAAATACTGGGTATATCTGTGGTATTCTTCCTTATTATGGAAGTTTTACAACGGAGAAATTGATAAGGCCCGATCTTCCAATATCAGCAAGAATACCGCTGCACCTTTATACGATGCTGCTGAAGAAAATACCTGGTACTCAAGGACACCATATGTTCACCGATCGGTATTACACCAGTTTTATCTTGGCTGAAGAATTATTCAAACTGAAATGCCACTTGACAGGAACAATCTTAACGAATAGGAAGAATTTGCCAAATCAAATAAAAAAAACAAAATTCCGCAAGAAATCGACAGTAGCATACCGCAAAAGAAATACTTTAGTTTTAGCATGGAAGGACAAGAAGGTTGTCACATGCTTGACCAATTGGAGTAATGCAGGAATGAGTACTGTAAAAAGGATTTTACGAGATGGTATTGAAATTAACGTCAAAAAGCCTAATGTTGTAATAAATTATATAAAATATATGGGCGGTGTCGATCGTACAGATCAATATGCTTCAACATACTGTTTCTTAAGAAAATCCTTGAAATGGTGGCGTAAACTATTTTTTTGGGGTCTGGAAATTTGTGCAATTAATTCATATATTCTTTATAAAATCACTGAAGAACAGAGAAGACAACGGCCGCTTAAACACTTGCCGTATGTGAAAACCTTAGTTCAACAATTAACTGGAGATTTTCATCAAATACGTGATCGAGCTTCAATTTCAACCTCCAATTCCGAAAAGATCCGCCTGAATGGAAAGTTGCATAACATTCTAACAGGAGTTAGGAAAGATTGTAAAGTCTGCTCTCAAAGAAATAAACTCGGCAAAAGACATCAAACAACATATTATTGTGATACTTGTCCCGAAAAGCCGGGCATCCATCTCGGCAATTGTTATATGAAATATCATACAAAACAAAATTACAAAAACTAATATTTTAGAAATTATCTTCGTAAAGGTCTAAAGATATATAAAATGTTAAAATATAAAAGTTTTATAGGATAATTTGTGTGTGTAATTATTTCAAGTTAGAGGTAAAAAATTCACCAAAAGTGCTACAAAACATCTCGAGTTGCTGATTCGTCCGCGCGAAAATGACGCCGATTGCAAAGGGTTAATATCAAAGAACTCTAAGCTACCACGGTTTACTATAATCGCTCGTCACGAAATCTTTCTTGCTTGGCAGCGTCGATCAAAGTCAAACTGTGAATTATCAAAATTTTTGTAGAAATATTAGGTTGGAAACTATGAAACGGGCGTTTTTTGTTTAGTCTGTGTTCAGTTGCGACTGAGAGAGATACATTGTAACGTGCGCTCGATATTTTAATTTATAAAGCTTAAAGATATTCTTTTTACTCATTTTGTAAAATTTTTTCGTGTTTGTATCCCATTTTTATTTTATTTTTATCCTAAATCAGATGGAAACAAAACGCGATTTACATCTACTCTTTTTGTACGAGTTTAAATTAAATCATACCGCAGCTCAAGTTTCAAGAAATATTAATCAGGCATTCGGAGATGGATCCACCAATGAAAAAATGCTCGATATTGGTTCCAAAAATTTTGTTCTGGCAATTTGACTATCGTCAATGAGCCTCGAGGAAGATCACCGGCTCATATTGATAACGAGGAATTAAGGACTGTGGAATCCGATTCACACACAACTAGTCAAACACTTGGATCTAAACTGGGAACTAGTCATACAACTGTGTTAAAACATTTGCGTGCAATACATAAAGTCAAAAAATTGGACTCATGTGCCGCACGAATTGACGCAACTGCAGATGATCGAACGCAAAAGCAAGTGCGCATCTTTGTTGCTTCGCAATATACGATTGCCATTTTTACACCAAATCATCACTTGTAATGAAAAGTGGATTTTGTATGATAATTGAAAACGATCAAGCCAATGGGTAGATAAGAATACACCCCCAGGATACATCCCGAAACCGAGATTTTATCAAAAAAAAATTATGGTTAACACCAATTATGGTGGAATGCCCAAGGAGTGATCCATTATTCCCTTCTACAACCAGGCGAAACTATAACAGCGATGTCTTATTGATATCATACATGAGAAACTTATGAAAAAACAATCAGCATTGTTTAATCGGCACGGCGCAATATTACTGCATGATAACGCACGATCACGTAAAACTTCAATTACTGTTGACAAATTAACTTCTCTACAATATGAAATTTTACCACATCCTTCATATTCACCCGATATTTAAGCTTTATAAATTAAAATATCGAGCGTTACAATGTATGTCTTTCAGTCGCAGCTGAATACAGACTAAACAAAAAACGCCCGTTTCATAGTTTCCAACCTAATATCTCTATAGATTAACGTTGGAACGAAGAAGAAATATAGATACTTCGAAAAATCTGGTATTACTGGCTTTTCCATTTCCGCGTGTATTTTGTATTTAAGAAATTTTGGTGCCGTACTCCTTATGAAAGCGTAACATTTCATTAACATACGAACCTATTTAAAGTTGCAAATAAAATTAATTTTTAGAATTACATTTTAAATCGAAACATTTTAGATCCGTATATTTAAATCGATCGATCGTAGATCACTCTTTAAAAATATGCTTTGTACGAAACATTGATGTATATATTCAGCTTAAATAAGTTTATATTTAAGTGATTATTATATTTATGAAGGTATTTAGTAGTAGAACGTTCATATATAGATACTTATATATGAAATAAATTTACCTGTTCTGTAAGAATTACAGTGCTAGAAGCTACTGGTAGTCCCTCATCTATTATTGCTTTAGCTGGAAGAACGATGAAAATGAGCAAATATAATACAAGCCCCGCTATCCATCCATAGTCCCATACTTTTAAAGCAGTTGCTGCGTTAAATAATATCATAAATTATAAGTATAATTTTAAAGAAATGTTTAGCGATACTTTTTTAATAACAAAAACCAATTTTATTGTTACATAATGGTAAAAAATGAAGACGTTTGTGCGCCCAAATATAGAACGGAATGTAAATTCCAAGTGTCGTTAATGTCATTAAAGACCAAATATAAAGGACTCTTGAAAATTTTCCGAAACTCCGACATTTATTCTAAAAATAAAATAAAAAATGTATATATCTACCGACAAATTTATTATGTTGACTATATTTTATTGATATAAATTTGTACTACAATTTTTATCAAAATTCAATTAAATTGAGGTATAAATGATCATGCTTACGATCCACCATCCATAATATCGTATGTAATAGTATTCATAAAAAGTAATATTAGTATCGTTGTAAATATATTATATACCGTCCGCACATGTTTGTTGGTGTTAAAAAGATCAGTTAGTAATGAATTTCTTTCAGAAAATTATTTTTCTGGTAAGATACTTTCCTCTAAGATGAATTACTCCTATTTTTCGTGTAAAATATTAAATCTCTTAAATAATGATTTTTTAATATTTAAATGATTTAAAGAGTTTATATAGAGAAAATACAGATCTTAATAATCATTCTGATTATAAGTGATTTAAAATTATCGACAATGAGAGAATTATATATATTCATAATGTAAATCCACTGTATGAATTAGAGACTTTCAATTATTGTTGTATTCGTTCGGTGTTTCTACTTTGCGATCTTTTCATTTAATCGATGATGTGCTTTTTCTTATGTGGTTTCTCCTATAGGACTATTCCACTCTATACTATTTCAACTATTATTACTATTACTACTACTATTACTACTACTGATAATAATAATATAATATAATATAATATAGTAATAATAATAATAATAATAATAATAATAATAATAAAAATGTACTTAAATATTTGTAACATTTAAATATTATTTAATACATTTTATATATATGAAACCACCGTAATTATAGTAAAGATAATTAGCTTCGACTGATCGTGATTAACCGTTTGCGTATCACGAGCCACTTTCGTACTCTTCAGATTTTGTGTCGAAAAAACCCAGGGCATTTATCCGAAACAGACAAGTGACGGTCCACCCGAAATTTGTCGAAACGCGCTCAGCCTTTCAGACGCATGTACGTCGCATCGCTATCAATAAACTAATTTGTTTTTATTGTTACTTATTCTAAATTAATAGAATAGGTATGTATATTATACATATATATTTTTTCATTCATAACTGAATTTGATATAAAAGAAACAAACAAAAGACGGCCCCGTTGTTTATCGCATTGAACATGACAAGCACTATCGCACTCTTCGGCTTTTTTCGAAACGTAATTGAAATAGTGCTATCGCGTTCTTTGGCTTTTTTCGATATGTAATCGAAGAAGCGCGATCGCGCTTCTTGACGTTTTTCGAGCATGTTTTGTTAAAACCCTCTGGTACGCAAACGGTTAAGAAACATTGTGCAAACAAATGTATAATGATCATAAGGTAGTAAGATAAAGAGAAACGATAGAGGATGAAAACAAAAGAAACGTTTTGTACTTTTATTCATATGGCATTTATATTAGATATATTTTTCGATGGGCGTTCATGTGTCGTAATTATTAAGAATTTTATTTGTGAGTGTCGCGCGTCAAACGACACGTAAAATTTTTCTTTTTTTGTTATCGTAAACTATCATTATATGTGTCATGGTGTATACAATATAAGTATATTTTTTTGTTTCTTCTTATTACTATTTTTATTGCCATATTATTACCTTATATATTATTATTATGGTAATCGTAGTAGTAATAGTAATAATATGAGATGATTTAAAGAGAAAATCATAACAAAATAGCATTAGGAGGAGCGCTCGTAGATAACGTGGGAATGAACTCGTGTTTTGATCTTTATTAAAAATAATATAAAATATATATGTTCACTAATTATTAATTTTGAAAAAATAATCGACAAATGTATGTACTTTATATGCATTTATCATTGAACAAAATTATACTGTTGCTGTGTTCTATCTAGTAGAGATCACCGCGAAATTCACGTCAGCCATCAATGGAGGAAATAAATATAAGAGATTGAATAATAACATCTTACTAAATTATCTAATAAGGAAAAAAAGAGTAAATTAATTCATTATTTTCGTTTACATCGATACAATAAAAAGAAATCATTGGGAATCATTTTAACCTGGAACCTACATTTCCTAAATTACGAATATAGATGCTTACCAATGTACAATACACATTGCTTATAGAATCTCTATCTTTATATTCTATAAAATCTAAAAGAAGCTACAAATTTTTCCCAAATTTTACAATATTTTAGAAACTCAAATCCCTTGACATAAACGATTGGACACGTATTTCCTTATTTTTCCCATAGAATCATTTGGTCAAAGCTCATTAAAATGATCGAGTGAGGAGTTTCTGTAGCTTCTCCGAGTGAGCATCGTGAAACCCATTTTTTTGCGTTTGAAAATGTTTAGAAAATCTAAGCATCAGTTATTTACATACACAACTAAGCAGGCAATCACTACTTCACGGACATACATCATTCAAGCATATAAAAATTAGTAGTGGATGTACGAGCTTCATCTCTTTTGTCGAAAATTTCGATGTAGTACTAAACTTTTTTTTCGTGAAAAATGTTGAAAACAACATTAACGCCATTAAGGAGAACAGATGTAATTCTCTATCAATTTTAATGAACAAAGTCTCATTTTAAAGAGGAAGATTTAATTTACGGCACTGTTCCGGCGGAATTTAGAAAAAATCGTGATAATTTTTTTCAAAGGAAATAAAGCGAAAAGTATCATTCTGGGACGAGAGATAGCATATGCATTTGCATGCGTGCGTATGTGCATGTGTTTTGAATGAATATTACGACAAGGAAAAAGAGGCATTGAGATTTACTATATTATTTATTAATATCTTTAGAAAATAGAATATGAAACATTAATAACAGATAGATGATAGTGATAACAACAGAATAATTTATTTATGAGTCCATTTGGAATTGTTTACATCATATATTTACCGAATAGATTATATTAAAATAAAATGTTGAGTGAATATATAATATATTCGTGAATGTCAACATTGTGAATAAACATATGAAATATGATAGTATTTTTTTCCATATTTCTTTCAATATATTTAATAAATTGTAAACTGATTTACGACATGAAAAAAAATATATAATATTATGATTAGCGATTAGTCAATAAAATATTTATTTATGATTTTATGAACATTTTTTTGTGGAAGATACTAAAAAAATTTACAGGGAACTAGAATTTAGATAGAAGAATTAAAAAATAAATATTTAAAATTTTATATTTAAAATAGAAACGTACTATTTCTGTTACCGAAAAAAAAATAGAACAAAATCATTCGTTTCTCACAAGTTTGTTTCTTTCATAGGAGAATAATTATAAAATCTGAATAAAGTTTTTTCAAAATTGCGGCAATATATACGATGGTTCAAATGCAAATAAAAACAAAAAAGTAAATGTTTTCACAAAATACATGTATGTTTTAGTGAATATATTACAAGAGACAATGCATTCAAAAAGTGATTCTTTCAATATTAATAATGTATATTTTATTTAATGTTCATTCGGATATAGGGTTACAATACCAAATTCTCGGTAAAATGAAATTCAAGAATTTATCAGGATATTCACCACAATTTTGTCTTCCAAAGAATTCCATAGCATACATACTACACATTACACCGTTACCTAAGATAAGGCTAAACCATAGAAATATATTGCCAGCTTTTCTTGTGATAAAAGTGAGCGGACAGCCGATGAAACCAAACAAAAGTATCATTCCGGGACAAAAAAATTGGAAGGCAAAACACATTATATATTCATGTACGAATGCGGATATGCAAAATACGGTGCAAGTTGCGATAAACCTATTTTGGTTCGTTAAGATCTCAACCACATCTTTGTATACGTAGGCGTAAAGCCAATCGTGCACGACGACGTTCCATGTTCTGTAGTAAACGTTATAAGATGATGAATTCCACCAGTCCTGAAAATGAAATACATAAAAATTGTGTGATAATGATTAAAATTATGAATTAATCTTTTTAAAAAAAAATGTAGTTCATTTTGTTTTTTACTTTGTAAAACAATCGATCGGCAAAACGCAATACTTCAGCGCAAGCGTTTAACCAAGCGTGTAAAAGACAATAAAATCCACAAAGGAAGAAAAGAATTCCAGGCATGGACGTGTTGATTATATTAAGAAACAATTCTTCCCTTCTTATAGGTTTCATTCCATGTTTTCCATATATCGGATAAAAGAAGCGTTTGCATATGAAAGCCATGTAAAATATTACCAACAAAACTTCTACATAATGCCAGAGAACAAACTTCCATCGAATACTTTTTGTCCTAGAAAAATTCACAAATGTAATTGAACATTACACATGATGCTCGGAGTCATCTATAAGTTTACCTAGGATAATTATCTCTATAGATTAACGTTGGAGCGAAGAAGAAATATAGATACTTCGAAAAATCTGGTATTACTGGCTTTTCCATTTCCGCGTGTATTTTGTATTTAAGAAATTTTGGTGCCGTACTTCTTATGAAAGCGTAACATTTCATTAACATACGAACCTATTTAAAGTTGCAAATAAAATTAATTTTTAGAATTACATTTTAAATCGAAACATTTTAGATCCGTATATTTAAATCGATCGATCGTAGATCACTCTTTAAAAATATGCTTTGTACGAAACATTGATGTATATATTCAGCTTAAATAAGTTTATATTTAAGTGATTATTATATTTATGAAGGTATTTAGTAATAGAACGTTCATATATAGATACTTATATATGAAATAAATTTACCTGTTCTGTAAGAATTACAGTGCTAGAAGCTACTGGTAGTCCCTCATCTATTATTGCTTTAGCTGGAAGAACGATGAAAATGAGCAAATATAATACAAGCCCCGCTATCCATCCATAGTCCCATATTTTTAAAGCAGTTGCTGCGTTAAATAATATCATAAATTATAAGTATAATTTTAAAGAAATGTTTAGCGATACTTTTTTAATAACAAAAACCAATTTTATTGTTACATAATGGTAAAAAGTGAAGACGTTTGTGCGCCCAAATATAGAACGGAATGTAAATTCCAAGTGTCGTTAATGTCATTAAAGACCAAATATAAAGGACTCTTGAAAATTTTCCGAAACTCCATATTATGATATTCATTCCGACATTTATTCTAAAAATAAAATAAAAAATGTATATATCTACCGACAAATTTATTATGTTGACTATATTTTATTGATATAAATTTGTACTATAATTTTTATTAAAATTCAATGAAATTGAGGTATAAATGATCATGCTTACGATCCACTATCCATAATATCGTATGTAATAGTATTCATAAAAAGTAATATTAGTATCGTTGTAAATATATTATATA